ATCGACGATTCCGTGTATAATTACTTATCCATTTCAATCGATAGCTGACACACATAAGTACTTGGACGATACCAAGTATCGTCTGGACCAAAACCACGATAGGTAGATACGGGTATATATTTCTTCTGATTACTAACACTTTGTAAGATTTCGTAAGATTTTACTTTACAAAAAAAATCATGCATATCTCGAAAATTTTATAATTATTTTTTAACGTTTTAATGGTGAACTTTATGATACATAATTTATATTCCATTGCAAATGGAACAAGCAAATGCTTTTAATAGCGGATTAATACATATAGTTCACCGAGAAACCTGTCATTAGCTAAAATTTAGAGTAGAAAATCACCAATCAACGCATAAATTTTTATCATCTTATGCTTTCCCATTTTTCTAACTTTTTTTTAGTACATTGATATTATCAATTTGCTTCGCGTAATTACTGAAAGAAAATTGGTTTACAAAGTGAAATTTCCAACCATTATCCGCATAATCAGTGTTCTCTCGGTGTCATTGCGGTCACGAAATAAAGAATAATTTTATATCGAATTTAACGCTGACGAGAAAAAAATTTGATTTTCAATATAAAATAAGCCTCCGTGCAAACAAAGCACGTTGCGAAGGAAAAACGGGAAGGGCAATCGTGGGAAAGTCAGCAAGCATTCACAGCACTCAAGCTCGGTTTATCCAGAGGAACGGTATCGAGTATCCGTTGTACCGTTCTCTCTCTCTCTCTCTCTCTCTCTCTCTTTCTCTCTCCTCTCTCTCTCTCTTTCTCTCTCCTCTCTCTCCCGTTTAAGCGTAACCGGGTATTCCATTCTTTGAGGGCCCGCGGAGTTTCCCCGATATTTCTGAAAGCGGTCGCTATGCGATAGATCCCGCGCGCTCGTTTTATCCCTGTACTTTTCCGAGTTCCCTTCACATACATCATGAGGTTCCCCGACAGTCCGACGGAAACAACGCGATTCGAAAGCGCAATTCTGCAAGTCGGGCCCGCATTTACGTGCATCTTGTACTTTACGTTCTTCGCGTCTAATGCGAAGTATCAGCCGAAAGTATTGGATGGGAATACAGCGCGACGTCCCTTGATAGAGTGCCCATTGATCAGCTATCCGCCATTGAATTATCTTGAGCCAGAAAGTTCGGAGAATGTACATTCGATGATCTTTCTAAGTGTATCCGTGCGTTACAATCGTCGTGACAGCGATGAATCGTTAAGATAATTATTGCAACTACGATTGTAACGTGAAAGTAGTCCAGCTCGTAAGTAAAAACTCGAAGGGAAGAAAAGAAGCGATTCGCGAATCTCCAACAAAATCAAACGAAAATCTCGAGACGCATTTGCGTCAGCATTTGTTCCGTTTTTCATTTTATATTTTCTGCATATACAAGTGCAGTTTCTTGTAAAACCAGCAGAATAAGTATAATTGAACGACAACTACGCTCAAGGTAAATTCGATCAAAATAACTATCCGTATAGTTGTTATCATTCTTTTGAATAAAGCGACACGATGGGTACCTATCATTTGCTTTTTATTCAGCATTCCGCATTTTGTATCTCGTATTTTACCACCTTACCGGGATGCTTCGCGATAGAGAATAAGAGAAAACGCGACTTTGTTTTGAGAAATGTTAAAATTATTACCCGACTCCTTGAAAGAAACAACACGACTCAAGGATTCGTAGCTCTCGAAGTCGTCGCTCACCGAGGTCTTATTTACCCGTTTGTACCTTCAGATTTCATCTTTCTCGCTTTCTCTCTTTCCTTCTCCCTTCCTCTATCACCATTCTCTAAATCAATAAAACGAATATTATTCGAGAGCACTTGCGTGTATAGAAGATATCAGTCCGTATAGCTCACATAGCGAACTTTGGCGAAACAAAATAGTTCATTCTGCCTTTCTTGCTCTATTTATTCTCTTATCTATGTGTATAAATCGTCCACGCGTCTTCTCCGTACATACTTCGAGGATATGTACCGCATATTGCTGCTGTTTAAGTGTTCAAGTACCGTGAGAGGTTACAAGAATATATTACCAAAAGTGTTGTATAGGGTGGTAGGTTCAATGTTAATACACTCGGGAAATAAATTAAACTGCGCGACCTTATAATTGTTCCTAAACACTAAGCAATAAATTGCATAATAACGTCAAATCATGAAACAAGAGAAAGGAATGCGTTAGTATTAGTTAGAAATCTCCTCAAGTGAAAAAAGAGGAAACGCGGTCGCGTTTTCCTTGGCACTCAAATGGTTAAGTACCGATTTATAGGTCACAGTTTGCACGACATTATTTATAGTTCTTGCAAAAACACTCGTCAGATCTGTTTCCTTTCTCGACGATACACACGATCCACTTCACTGGAGCAACATAAATTTTATTATTTTATAACATAATTTCCCATCACCTACGATAATGTTGCAAATTATAAATCGATTTACTAGCGAGCGCCACACGACAGATCTGTTGATGGTACATCGTAAACTTTGCATGCTTATGCAAATTAATGACGACAACGAAATCTCTCGAAGTGCAACACTTCTTGAATATCTATCCAAAAGTCTCGAGTGTATAAATCTTCAAAGAGGTAAATCGTCCGACCTTACGTTCTTTGGATGGCTCTCGTTACGAGCGCTACCAAAAGAATCCGGGATGAAAAGGAGTTATGAACCGATCGGGATTCCTTACCTCCTTCCTTATTTATTCAACGGTGCTACATATCCGCACGCAGACCGTGCCTGAATATTTTATGGGGACTGTGTTATGTGTGTCGGCGCCTCAGGTATCACGACTCGCGTTTGACGATCGTGCCGATCGTAAAAATTGTCGGGAACGTATCGAAGTCGTTCGCAGGAGTCCCTTGTCGCCGAGCTTTTTCTTCCACTTAAAACTATATGATAAAAGCTGGTGTAAACGCGAGAGAGAGAGAGAGAGAGAGAGAGAGAGAGAAAGAGAAAGAGAGAGAAAAAGAAGTGGCTGTCTAACTTAATTTCTTTATCGAATCTTTGAGCAGTATAATCGATAAAAGCTTGAAGAGATTCGCAAGTTGACATCGTAGACATTCTATCTATTCCTTCGAAACTAATTACTCATACAACAGATAAGATCTCTAATATATATGTTAGGAAAAAGCACTTTGAACTTTATGAAGATAAAAGACTGATTTATTGAAACTATAACAGAATATTTTATTTTTGTTCTTTAGGAATGATAAAATATAGCTTGATTTAGGGTAGTGATACTTTTACCTTCAAGTAGAAAGATCATGACTTTAAGTCACAGAAGTATATTGTCCGTTCTTCCATCTATTCTTTAGTTCTATGTAAATTGTTACATTTAGAGGAGAGGCAGAGAGTCGTTGGCGCTATCGCAAACTCCGAGAATTCAACGACAAGTCTAAAAATAAATATTCAGATGATTACATAGATTTCGATAATTCGGCTCGCAGCAGTCTAATTAACTGACAATTTTTGTGATAAAATTGAACAAAAGAATCTTCAGATATGAGAGGGAAATTATAAAATCGATAGAATCTCGGTGAAGGCTCACTCGGGCAGCTTTAACTCTCTTTTCTTACTCGAGACTCGCCCTTTTCTTATTCCATCTTTCCCCCTGTTCTTTTATTAACGAGTAATCGCGGCCAGCCGAGACGAGATACCCTTTTTATTTGTTGGCAAATGTGTGGGTTATATACGTGAATGTGTGTGTACACACACACACACACACACACATATAATATATTTATTTATTCCGACATACATTATGCGTTGTGAATAATATTACATTGTGTCGCCTGTTATTTCCTTATGAATTACGTTGTTTATCTTTTGTATTATAATACCTCAATTTTAGTATAAAACGCTTGAAATCTAACTTTTTGAAATGCGGAATAAAATGTTCACAGCGATACTACTCACTGAAATTTAGTATTTTTTTTCGTAAAATTAATGAAAATGGACGAATCCAAGCACTTCTCTGTGATCATATTTTGTAAAATAAATATTAATGAGGGAGATAATATGTAATTTGAATCAATTACAAACACATACGAAATTATTCAGTACGTGACGTATATTGATTACATGTAACTTTAGTTTTATGCTTTGTCTAGCAACAATTTAATAGATGTATGTCAACAATTTTATTTACTAGCGATACTATTTTATTTTTTAAAGCGTTTCATAACAAACATGTATGAAAAATATTCATATCTGGATTTCTGTCTCTATCGCAACACGGAGAGAATATAATTACATCCCATCTACGTAAATCCTCTCCATGAGATATCCAACTATCCTCTTTGTCGCTGTCTCTCTCTTTGTCTCTCTCTCTCTCTCTCTCTCTCTCTCTCTCTCTCTCTCTCTCTGTGTTTCTTCCTCTCTGTCGACAAGTTTCTGTGATCTATGAATATCAGTTTGAATATTATCAACTTCCTCTTTCTCTCATCCTCCCTCCCTCCGCCCCTCTCTCTTTCTCTTCCTCCTCCCTCTTTCTCTCTCGTCTCGGCTGATCATGAGCCAAACAAATGATCGACGATGGTCGATCACATCTCGCCTCCAGTGCCAAGTCATGGCCTCGTAGCCTCGTCCGCGGCCTGCAGGTGTGGACATCGGCTACGAGGAGAACGGTCGACGTTCTTCGCGGCCCCTTCTCGCCCTTCCCCTCCCCCGCCATCCACCTCCCTGCCGTCGCTCCATCTCTTTTTCTCTCTTTCCTTCGCGTAGGGTGGACACACGCTCGACCCTCGTCGTCGTCCCCACGAATTCCAGGGATCAATGCGTCGGTGCACCAAAACGCCTGCGCCACCCCCTACCTCATCCCTCCATCCCCTCTTATCATCCCCTCCACGCCCGTACCACCCAGCAGCAGCAGCAGCAGCAGCAGCAGGCAGCAGCAGCGGCGGCGGCAGCAGCAGCAGCAGCAGCAGCAGCAGCAGCGGCGGCGGCGGCGACGGCGACGGTGACGGTACTATCACAATCAGGATATCACCATCACCACGAGCTTCGAGACACCCTACTTCCCACGCCGGTGCTGCGGCGCTGGCTGGTGTAGCTCGGTGGTGGTCTAGTCATGCCGGTGTAACCGCTTGTGTGTCGGGAGTCTACCCTCTTCCATCGTAGGCAGAGCCCGCCACCTTGCGTTCCGCGATCTACTCACACTCGGTGCTTCGACCCCTCTATCGCTGTGTCCTCCGGTGCTCCCACCTCGGCGGCAACGCTCCCTCCCGCGTGCGCGTCGCCCGACCCTCGGAAATTCTGAAAGCGGTTCGCGCCTGTGCAACGTGGGGGTGGCAAGGGACCGAAAATCGAGGTGAAAGGAAACTCCGCGGATCCGGCCTAAGGGTCTCTCCTAGGGCTGATGCGTGTCGGCCGTGCCCCCTCGCGTGTGCGTCCTACGAGCGCGAAAAATTGATACACGCGCGCGCGTACACACAGCTACATATACACACACGTATACATATACATGCACACACATACACACGCGGGTTACATACACGCGCGGATACGCGCGTAGATCCTCGCCAAGTGCCGCCGATATTTTCACTGCCTCGGGCGATCGCCCACCTTTTATTCGCTGCATCCCTCGGTTATCACGGCCCCCTCGCCGATCCCAAGGAAGCAAGAGCATCCGCGACGCGCGAATCGGCAACCGGGACCGCGTTTCCGCGTCGGAGTACGCGACGCTGTGGTGACGTTCGATCGCGCGGCTACTTCCTCGAGTGACATACTTTCGACTCGCGAGGGAAGAGAAACTCTCCTCGGCGGGCTGCTTGCCGCAGGAGGTGGCGGACTGTGCGGGATAGTGTGATTAACCTCGAGTGCACGTCAACAACCTGCGAGAACGCAGGTGGGAGTTTGCAGTGTGACATGTCAGTGTGTCGTCGGGCGTAGTGACCGTTCGCATCGAGTTTCATCGTCAGTGCGAACCCGCGGTTCCGATCGTACGTTGTCACCTCCGTCGTACGTCGCGTTAATCGACGGATCGCGTTCAAGTGCGGGCTGACTGGCTGCTGAGAGTGATCTTATTTGCCGCCGTGTGGTTCGTGCGAGCTACTACGATCATAGACCCGGAGGATCCGAGGGGGATCATGTGTCCCCAATTGCAGCCCTCCTTTGAGGGTTGAGTCGCCGATTCGGTGTCGCGCGCGCGATCGGCCGACACGCGTGTGTTGTGTCAAGCTCGTCGTACGCCCGAAGGCAACCCTTGCCGTCACGCGAGAAGGTGATCTCGCGGAGGGCCAACCGTGTACCACATTCCCGCGCTGCAAGTGAGTCCTAAATCGCTGTAATTTTATCATCGCCGAGAAGATAAACGTAGTGTTTGCTCTGTCTCTTCGTTCGGGTTACGCGAGTCGCGAATTGTCAGATCGCTAGTCGACGAATGAGGACGGAATCGATAGGGATCCTCCTTTCTCTTTGTAAAGTCGCCGGATCAATGGATTACTGTAGAATCGTCCAGGACAATGTGTATTGAGCAATTTTCAGTAATACTATTCAATTAAATGGGAGGGATTATAGACCAATTGCACAGGAGATATATTTTGATCATACGTGATCTTGTCGTGTGTGTTCTCGTGGTTAGATTTGGTAAATCGACAAGTCAAATCGGTACAGGCTTCCTCGAAATTATTGTCATTTCTCTCTTCGCGAATTTTTTTTTATCAATTTAAAATCATCTTTTCCATGACAAGAGTATTGTAGATAGAATGACTTTGGAATCGTAAACAATTGCATTTGACACGATTTTCGAGACCTAACGTAATGTTTTTGGGAAAAGCCGAGTATTCGAATCGATTGCCGTATTCGTGGATGTAATGGCGGCAATTCTGGCTCGCAGATTATGTCCTCCCATAGAAGAGATTATTTTGTTGAAATTTAAAGCTAATTCGACCATTCAAGTACTTTGATCGTTGCAAAAGTTCTATTTCAAGGCAAGAAGGATAGAATGTAATACGATGGTATTACATCCGCGATATTTTACGAAATGTATAATATAACGAGAAAATTATGTCACAAAAGCACACAATTTCTAAAATACCTATATATACGCCTTCTCTGCGTGTATTGAAAGCAAGGAAAAGTGTTGTTAGGTGGATTAGGGGTGAGCGTAAGAAGACTATAAAAAATGTATTCACCTCGTTAGATATTAATCTTTAATCAGCACGAAGGCAAGCGAGGCCACCAAGTCCGGTTCTACTTTAAACCGCAAGTGATCATCGTCAACGTCCTAATGGCGTCAACTCCCATGGCGCCCATGAGAAATTTTATCGTTTGCGATTTCATCGTAAAAATATTACGCCGCGGCCACGGCACATTCCGTATCGGCTCCGTAATTACACCGAGTGTCTCGAAAGCCGCGATTATTTAAAGGAAAGCAATTGTTCGTGCCACTTTTCGACTTTCCGTCGAAAGGCCCTCGACCGTCGTCGTCTCTTGGCCGCTCCGCGGGCGACAATTTGTCACGATTAAAATCGCGAAAGGAACTTCCGTTGTGTCGAACTCTAAATCCACTGCATAAACTCGATCAACAGAATGAAACCCTAGATTCCCGCGCATACAAGAGTATGGGCGAATTACAAAGTTTTCTGCTGATGCGCGCTGCGCATCGTATTATCTAGGCTTCCGCGATCCAACCCGTTTGTTGTTCCATTGCAAAATCCATTGCGGATCGTGCGCGTTAATCTCTTCTATTAGCACTCGAGGATTATCGAAACCCTGCAGAATCATTACCTACGATCATAGTTATCATGGCGGACGTGTTGTTCCTGGAAATTCGTCGCGGCTTTTTCCATGAAATCTTTCGCTCTCTTCTTCTCTCCCTCTCTCTCTTTCTCCTTTCTTCCCTCTCTCTCTCTCTCTCTCTCTCTCTCTCTCTCCCTCGTTTCAACTAGTTTCAGAGATGTATTGCGTACAATCGCCGTCGTGTATCACCTCGGGCACGACGTGTATCTAATTAAGCGAGTTACACGAATAGTATACGCGGCATGAATTGTGCGAAAAGCTCGTTCATTTCTCAGAACTCAAGGCCACTTAGATCGCTATAAATCCTGACTATACGAGTGGATAAGCCTCCAACACGGCGCGTGACGTGCCATTGATCATCGCACAGGCATCGTTCGCGTGGTTGAGATCTTAATGTTTCCCCGAGTGTTGCGTTAATTTTACTGTTATTAAGCCAATATGCGCGCGAATAACGCAACGAGATAAGCAGCGGCGACACCGCTTATTAGATTCCGGCTAATTATTACTTATTGTTCTTTCCCTAGAACGGGGACGCTTTGTCCGTAACAAACCGCGAACAATATTACACACAATGTAACACGTATGTATCGTACGCTTTTCAGTGCCGGCACAATTTCCACGCGGTCGCGGAAATTCCCGTTTTCATCAGATATTTCGGTTGTCGTTTATCTTTTGGGAATAAATTGAATGATTTAATAAATTGCACGTCAGAGCTGCAAGCCAACATTTTCATAAATTAGATGTGTAAAGCGCGCGTACCACCTCCTCCCTCTGTCCTATTTATATAAAATAACAACATAACTGAGATCGAAACGTGCGAATATGTCGTGTAACCGGGAATTCGGCGTTACATAGCGTGTGCGCGCGCGCTTGTGTGACTGTTGCTCGATCGAAAGGCTGAACTTCAGGAGATTAGGATGTGTTTTAACGGCGAAATTGCGAAGCTATCGATGAGCAAAGTGTACAGCCTTCCGCAAATCTTAAGCAGAGTCAAACATGCTCTCGGCAAGTTTGAACTCAAGTATCTACCGTGCCGCACTACCACACCGTGATTCCTCTCGCGCTATTTGCTGCAAGCCACTGTAAGTCTTCGGAGAACGTCGTCTAGCCTCTCGAAGCCTCTGTCGAAAATCCGGTCGCACGAGTGGCGCAAGACCGCGCATCGCGAAAGCCGCTCGCTTCAGCCGCTCAACTTAACCGCATCGTCCTTTGTGAGACGCTCTGTGAGACCTGTTCTTAATTTAATTTATTATACTATCCGTCACGATTGTGGAGTTTCCGACAGTGCTCGGTTGAGTCGGGTTACTATAAATTCCGGCCGTATGAGCGGAGTGAGAGCTTTCGTACCGGCGTGTGATGTGCCATTGATCATAGAGTAGACACACGTAGCTCGCGTGGTCGAGAGCTCGAGGCTTCGATGTAGTTACGTTAATTTTACGAGCCGTCCCAGTTTTCCACCCCCTCACGGCATTTTGCTCTTCTAGGCATGGCAACGCTGCCAGGAAATTACGTGCGATGGTGTGTCGACGAGTGATCTCCTCTCTTCTTCTCTTCTCTCTTCACTTCTCTCTCTCTCTCTCTCTCTCTCTCTCTCTCTCTCTCTTTCTCTCTCCTTCTTTCACTCTCTCTATTTCTGTCGTTCTCGAGCCGGATGTACCCTGTCTCTCGACTCGACCTACTGTTAGTCAATATCATGCGTTACAGTGTCTACTTAAGAAAATGATCTTTTCTTATAATCCGTAAATCTTCAGTGTCCTCTCTCGTCGTGTTATTACGTTTATATGAGATTTTTTAAACATTTTTATTTTTCAATGTCGTACGTGTCTTTTTCGTCTGATCGTTCGAAATTGCTTCGTAACCCGAGTCGATATTCTAGCCCTACTTTCGACCTGAACTTTCCAACATCTATACATGCTGAAGGATCGGTATATACGTTTAATATACACATATATAGAAACAGAAGTATTATTTTTAGCGCATTTAAATAGAAAACGCACAAAATGCAACGTTGATTCTAAAGAGAACCTCTAAAGAGAATTCTCTAAAGAGAACCTCTTGGCAAGGTTGTAGGTTAAATAGAATCAAGATAGGTTGACATAGGTTTTAGAGTATTAAAGCAGGCGTCCAATGGAATATTGAGGTAGAAAAGTGGATCAGAATTTTGATTAAAAAACTTGAACAATCACTTTCACTCCCTCGCTACACCACACACACACACACGCACACACATACACACAAAGCACTTTATAACCAATATCATTTTTCGGTAATTTAATGTTTAATATATATCCGTAGTGCATCTGTGTACACGTTTCCTGAATAAGTTTATATATATATATATATATATATATATATATATATATATA